ATAGAGATATATAACATATAGATATATACTATTGTTAATACATTCCTCTCAAATTCTCAATCTGTCCACTACTTGGATAAGTTCAGAGAATAGTATTTATATTAGCAAACTCCCCAAATACCTATTACCAAAGAACACTTACTTTGCTTAATAGATGCTAAAGTATTTGAAGAACCATATAAAACCCAGTTATATTATTATCAAATTATAAGGAAAACTTAAACCAACAATGAAAAAAGATTAATTTTAGATGGAAATCAGCATGGAAAATAAAGCATCAGGAAAACCCAATGAAATATTGGTATGGAAAATCAAACTGATACAACTTCACATCATTCTATTTTTAAATTAGTCTATTTGTATTCTTTAAGAGGGACTACTCTTAAATTAGTACAAATTTCAGTACTGCCTACAGATTTCTGTCAGTGTAAATTGTAACAGCCATGCATATTTATTAGGATGTAATTTCATCTCTGGATTTCAGTGACACTGATAAACCACTCAAGCTTCACTCTTGGTTTTTAATGACACCAGAACAAGTTGATGGAATTACAGCTTTATATGTGCCATTGAAAGTCTTATTTCTTATCATAGAATAAGGCTAGAATCTTAAAAGGGCATCATTTCTCCTATCTCACTGTGGAAAGACAGATAACTACTTTACTTTTTAAATCCCATTTAACTTGTCCTCAGTATCCACTCTAATGTTCAAACTACAGTTGTTTCTTTAATTATTTCACACACACACACATACACACCCTTCTTCTCTACCCCACAAACCCATCTCTGTCACCACTACTTTTCCGTAAGTTTATTTCAGGGGAAAATGTACTTTTATTCCAATATAATTGATGCTTTATGAATCCAAACACTTCATAAAAATAGAAATAGAACTGATTAAAAGAATTATGGGGAATATATCCACTTTTCCTATTCCACTGATCCACACACATTTCTTTGGCTCTGTTACTCTATTTAAAAAACATTTATTAAAAAAAAAAACATTTATCAATACAGATGCCCACTAATAAAATGTCAATCAAAGCATAAAAGTCCTCAGCCCTCTGAATTACCTGTCTCTTTGGTTAAGGCATTAAAAATTTTGATTTTAAAGGACTACAAGTCAAAAAGGAAAATTATGAATCATAAATGCCAATTCAGATATTAAGTTAACCAAGTAAATGTTGAAATGAGGTCGACTGTCTGAAATCCACCTACAGAGCAAGATTAGCAAGATGATCCAAATGCAACCACCAAACTAAGTTCAGGAAAGTAACAAGTAGATAGGTCTTTGCTGTTGTTTTGCTTGTAAAATAATTTAATCATGATAAGGAAAGTAAGTAAAGAAAGGACATTGTTATATTAACAAGTATTTACCTTGCATTCAATCTCTGCTTGTTTGCGCTTTGCTTCACTTAATTGCGTAAGTAGTCCTTTGTTCTGCGCAGAAAGATACTGCACCTTCTCCTGTAAACTGACCACCTCCTGTTCTGCTCTTCGAAGATGGTTACTGTTGATCTGGTTCTAATAATTAAAAACAAAAGCACTCAGACTGTATACAAAACGCTTGAAGTTTTTAATAAATTTTTATGTAAGCATTTTACATCTCAAAATTATTAGAAAAAATGTACTGGTCATACATCAATGTTGTTCAACAAAGTAATAAAAAAATAAGGTATGTATTGCTGTTGTTCTAAATTGCCATCTAATTGGTTCTGACTCACAGTGACCCTGTATAGGGTTTCCAAGGAATGGCTGGTGAGTTTAAACTGACTACCTTGCTGTTCAAACTGACTTTGAGGTCCAGTGCTTATTCTATAGTGCCACACCAGAACTCTAGGTCTATATTATAAACTCTCAATTTAGCTCAATTTACCATTTATACAATGATGTTGTTAAGTGCTGCTGAGTTGATTCTGACTCATAGCAATTCTTTATAGGGTTTCCAAACAGCAGCTGGTAGGTTTGAACTGCCGACCTTGTGGCTTACAGTCCACTACTGATCCTACAGTGCCACACCAGTCCATACATGTCTATAAACTACAGTAGCGTATATACACAATTTAAAGGTATTCACTGATGAATTTTACTCCTTTTTTCCATTTCCCAAAGGGAAGCAGAAACAGACCAAGAGGTACCACCACTGTTTACCACAGCTTCCCTGATGATAGCGAAACTTTGTTGTTAAGTGACATTGAGTCGGTATCAACCCACAGCAATCCCGTATAGGGTTTCCACAGAATTGATGGTGAGCTTGAACCTCCGACTTAACGGTTAAAACCAACTTTGCAGCCCAGCATATTAACCCACAAAGTCACCTCTCGTTTTTTTGAACATGTTGTCAGGAGGAACCAGTCCCTGGAGAAGGACATCAATGCATGGTAAAGCAGAGGATCAGAAAAAAAGAATAAGACTCTCCACAATCAGCAGTCAAGAAATCAAACAATGTATTGAATTAGGCAAATCTGCCGCACAACAGCTTTTTAAAGCGTTGAAGAGCAAAGATGTAAGCTTGAGGAATAAGGTGCGCCTGACCCTAGACATGGTATTTTCAGTAACCTCATATGCATGCAAAAGCTGGACAGTGAATAAGGAAGACCATAGAAGAATTGATGCACATGAGTTATGGTGTTAGAGGAGAATATTGAAAGTGCCATGGTCTGTCAAAAAACCCAACAGATCTGTGTTGGAAGAAGTGCAGCCAGACTGCTCTTTGGAGGCCAGGATGGCCAGACTTTCTCTCTCATACTTCGGACATATTGTCAGGAGGGACCAGTCGCTGGAGAGGAATATCATGTTTGGTAAAGTGAAGGGTCACAGAAAAAGAGGAAGAACCCCAGCGAGATGGATTGTCAAAGTGGCAGCATTAATGGGCTCAAGTGTGGCAACAATTGTGAGGTTGGCCCAGCAACAGGCAGTGTTTTGTTCTGTTGTGCTATGAGTCGGTACTGACTCGATGGCACCTAACAAGAAGAAGAAGAAGAAGATGGACTGACACAGCAGTTGCAAGAATGGCCTAAAACCTAGCAACGATTGTGATGATGCAGCTGGACCAGACAGCGTTTCATTCTACTGTATGTGAGTCAGAAGTGAACTGATAGCATCCGACAACAACAAAAATCTCCTTGAGACCACAAAACATGGAATGTGCATTTCTATATCTCCAATCCCAATGTCTATCATAGTCTTAATTTTAAGAAACATGGACTGGTTATGAATTCTGGCTTTGTTACTTCATGAATGGACAACTACTTAATATTACTGAGTTTATTTCTCATCTGGTTGTCTTTAGCATTAAAGGAGATAATACTTGTAACAGGATCTAATTAGGCAGCAAGCAATCAACAGATGTTAGCTGCTTATTATAATTATGCAGTTGTTAGGTGCTGTCAAGATGGTTCCAACTCACAGGGACCCTGCATATGGTTTCTGAGGCATGTAAATCTTTGCAGGAGCAGAAGTTTCATCTTTCTCCTGTGGAGCGGCTGATGGGCTTTGCCCTTGTGGTTTACAGTCCAGTGCTAATCCTATGGAGCCACTATGCTCCCCATTATAATTATGTTGTTGTTAAGTGCCGTTGAATCGGTTCTGACTCACAGTGACCCTGTATAGGGTTTTCAAGGAGTGGCTGGTGAGCTTGAACAGCCGACCTTGCAGTTCAAACTGACCATACAGTACAGCACATTAGTCCAGAGCACCACACCAGGACTCATTATAATTATAGAACATGCTAAAAAATATGCCTTGAATTGACTACTATGAGGCAGCTTTCTTGTAAAAAGTTTTCCCATTCAGGCAAGACTCGGGGGTTTGTTTAACAGTCGAAACTTTCATAACCAAATACATTTCTGTTTGTTAATGCCACCTACTTGAAGCATTTCTGTTTTAGCAGCACTAGAAGTGCTGGTGTAGCACTGCAGGATAAACACTGGACTGCTAACTGCAAGTTCGGTAGTTCAAACCCACTAGGAGTCAGAACCAACTTGACAGCACTTGATGACAAAAAGAACCAGATAAATAAGACATATGCTCTCTACGAGAAAAATATTCAAGACAGATAGCCAATATCAGCAAAGAAATTAAAACTGAAACGGAATCTAACAGAAATGTTACACTGCAATAAATCACACATGTGAAAAATGGGCCAATCAGATTGACTTAAAGCTGAGGAAACTTGAAGACAAGTTACCAGAAATTACCCAAACTAAAAATACAATGAAAAAATTAATGGGAGTAAAAGAAGAACATAATATTCATAAACTGTGGAACAATATCAAACTAATCTTAAACTTCTGAAGCCCCCTCATGTGTGAACTGGAATCCCAGCAGAAGTGAATATGTGGCAAAAGAGATAGTTGAAGAAATAATGACTAAAAAATAGACATAATGAATGAAAGACACAAATCCCAGAAGGTCAGAGAAAAAAATAAATCAAATAAAGTTAGGTCTATCATACTCAAACTGTTAAAAACATATAAAGTTAGGTCTATCATAATCAAACTGTTAAAAAACATAAGTCAGAGAATACCTTGAAGATGACAGAGGGGGAAAAAAAGGTAAATTATAAGGGACAAGTCAGAAAATATTGCTAATAGGGTTCCAGTTCATACATGGCATAGGTCTATTCCAAACAAAACGTATTGAGCATGTCTTTGTGATCAATAGATGCCTGCAAACAAGTTCTCTCAGTAGGATAAAAACATTGGACTGCTACTTCATGACCAGCAGTTCAAATCCTGTCAAGATTTACAGTCTTGGAAACCCTATACAGGGTAGCCATGAGTCGGAAATAACTCAACGGCAGTGGTTTTAGTTTTTTAGAATGTCTTCAAAAAAATGATACTTACTGTGCCATGGGATAGAGAGGGGGATGATTTTGAGGTCAGGGATAATATCAAATTTTTAACAAAACTCAAGTAGGTATCTTCTCAACTCACTGAAACTTTGCAGCAAGTTTATGGGAGCACTTCTCTATATGAAATAAGTTTCTAATTTAGATGGCTCAAGTGTTTCAAGGAAGGTGGATGAAGACCTCAAAGATGACTAAGACAGGGAAGACTGTCATTTTTGACAAATGAAGAAACTGGCTAAAGTCCAGAAACTGGTGGAAGAAGACTGTACAATTACCAATTCAAATAGCATTTTCAACTTGAAGTGAACATCTTACCCTCAGCTAGCTTTAGGATTGATGGGTACCAAAAGTGTTGTGCAAAAATCTGGTATCTCAAAAGATGATCTTTCCATTAGTTTTTTAGAAAGCAAGATGAAAGCTAACGAAAATGATTTTAAGAAACAAATAGCAACCAAGGACAAGTCTTGGATTTACCAATACAATTCAGATAAGAGACTTCTGAGGGGATCTGTTGGGCGAATTCAATCCAAGGCAGAGAGATCATAGTGACTATTTTTGGAGACTCTTAAAGGATAATCTTGATAGGTTTTTCTCAAAGGACACGGGATGATCACAAGGGCTAGCTTATTAGCAAGAAGTTTTCAGAAAACTGAAAATTACATTGGTGAGAAAAATGCCAGGAAAGTGCTTCAAGGAATTTTTTTCCATCATAGCAATGCACCAGTTCATTCTCCTAGGATAGCAAGGGCTGTAAGATTTCCCAACTAAATTCTCATAGGACAGCCCTTGCTATCATCAAAGAGTGAACAGTCGCACTGATGAAAATTTAGTTGGGAAACATTACTTCATCATCCTATGGCTCTGATCTTGACTTTTCAGACATTTTTTTCTTCCTAAAAACCAACGAACACTTAAAAGTAACACAATTTGAGTCCATCAAGGATACTAAAAATGTCATTTTAACATGGTATAAACTATGTTTACCCTGCAGGTGTGGCACTGCAGGATAATGCACTGGACTGCAAGACTGGTTTGAACGCAAGTTCAAATTCACCAGTTGCTCCTTGGAACTCCTAGATGGGGTTGCTATGAGTTGGAACCAACTTGACAGCACTTAACAACAACAATAAACTAAAGAGTGCAGAATTCTTTAGGGAAGGGTTTGAGAGAAGGAAACACTGCTCTCAGAAGTGTATAGACCTAGATGAATTTATAGAGTTTATAATATACATTATGGAGTGGCGCTGTGAGTTAATGCGCCAGACTGCATAGCCATTTGAACTGCAAGGTTGGTGGTTCCAGCTCACCAGCTGCTCCTCGGAAACCCTATACAGGATCGCTATGAGTCAGAACCAACTCAAGGCACTTAACAATATACATTATATACATTTGTATAGTTGTACAACCATCTTTCAGACTAAAATTTTCAAAACATCCATATTCTTTGTTGCTGCAGCTGCTACTGCTATGTGTTGTTGAATCTGTTTTGACTCATAATGACTCTGTTTCCAAAGATGTAAATCTTTACAGAAAACCTCATCATTCTCCCAAAGTGCTGCTGGTGGATTTGAACTGCTGATCTTGTGGTTAGCAAGCCAATGTGTAACCCACTATGTTACAAGGGCTCCTTAGCCATATACTTTAGATGACTAATATACCACCACTATTACAT